AGTCAACTGTATGTGCAGGAATTCGAAATGCAGGCATGCTCAGCAACTTGTCTGTCATGTTGACTAAACGTTCCTTAGCTTTCATGTTAGTACAAGCACTATTCTGATGCCTGTTGCTGCTGCATATCACACAGGATGTCTGACTTTCTAACCACAACATTACTCGCTAGTTGGTAAATTTGTGCATGTTTGCCTTGACCACGATTTTCGCCTGGCTCGGGTTATGCCAGAACTGCCATGAGCAGAGGCTACTGGGCTATGTCACGAATTTTAATATTAGTAGTACTACTATTGCTATTATTGGCAAAGCAACGGTGAACGTCCTCGACTATGCACTTATTGCTGGTAGCTCACGTTACAAAGGTAGCATTCGGTAACTTCAGGTAAAGTTCACATTTCTTTTTCTTGAGATGGTGTTATTAAATCGGTAATTATTTTTTAGTATCACGTCCATAGAAGAGTACGTAAACAAAGGTAACATGCTGGCATCCGTAAAACTTAAACCCCACGTATGACATTAAACTCCACGTATGAATCGATGGGTCGCTGCGTCCTCTACCAGTGAAGGGAGAGGAAAGTGCAGCTTAGCATAGACACGTGCCTCTCTCTCTGAAGTGAGGGAGTGAAGGGAACCATGTGGTGAGATGCTACGCACACGAGTGGTTAGGCTTGCAAGTTTTCTAGCAGCTTTGGCTGCGTTGTTGCACTATCACAGGCTCCTTTAAATTTCAGCTGCACTTAATTTTAACTCGTGTATTTGCTTACTGGTTCTTTCAAACATTAAACAGCCAACTTGTTCACTTCTTGTGTCTGAGGTTTTATTTTGGCCAGATATACGTATTTTTTCATATTACCGCACATGCTGTGAACATTCTGAGCGCATGTGGTAAATATGTTTACTTATTTTATATGAGCACCCAATTTCTTTTTGCCAACGAGGGTTTGTTTCCAGTGCACAGAGTTTTCCTAGCAGACATGACTGTCATGGAACTTGCTTTTAGTCATCATGAAAACCTTGAAAAGTCAGGGAATTTGGAAAAATCAAATTGGTAGACACCCCGACTGAAGGCAAAACAAACCTGAAAGTGGTGGCAATGAGCAGCTTGTAGCTTACGTGTGTGATGCACATGTTCGCATTTCTTCATTAGAACCGGATTGTTGGGCCTTCAAAACGTGCTTCTGCAATGCTGTGCCGTGATGACCAATTCAGATTATAAGAGGTGGCCGTGTGCTTGATGTTTATTACGTGTCCTCAGTGTGAATTTAGCTGCTCATTGTGAATGAAGAATAATACAACCCCAGAGACAGGACGACAAAAAGACACAGACACTGCGCTTGACGGAGAACCCTCCTGTTTTACAATTTGTTCAGCGCCGTGTCTGTCTTTTTCTGGTCCCGTATTTAGTGCCATTTCATTCTTTGTTCACTGTGCACCAACTGGCCCAATCAGGTACACTGCTAAGGCTGCTCATTACATGTTACACGGCATGCACCGTCATCAGAGACTCTACTGAGCTTCATTGTGAAGATTGCAAAACACTAACAGCTAAGTCATTTTTTCAAGTGGTTTGCTGTGGATAATGCGAGTAATCCGATTATGTTCAACGGCCTGTACCCAGCGCTCTTGCCGCCCTGCTTCATTTGACAGCTATAGAAATTGTTAAAACTGAATGTTAGTATTCAGTCCTTCATGTCCATGCCAATACACAATTCAACGGTAACATTTATTGCGGAAGTACAGCTGAAGCCACTTATAATGATACTCAAGTGCCATGAAAATTCTATTGTTATAACCAATAAGGGCTATAGATACGTTGCACGAAAAAAAAAAAGCAAAATAGGGAGATGGCGGGCTGTTCTGAAAAAAACTACATCATCGGGATCGAATGTGCCTACGGACATCAGAGATGAAGATGACAAAACTGCTGATTTTTCTGACTTTCTTGAAAGTTTTGATGCTTTCATGGTGCTGCGACAAGCCCCATAGAGCCAATTTATGACATGTTTCGGATGACTAAACTTTTTGGAGTGTTAGCTTTTTACTCAACTTGCATTGCAGAAAGTGTATTTACACAAGTCAACAGCGGCTGCCGCGCCACAGCAGAATTCAAAAGTCTGCTTTGGTGCAGTGCCAGAATGCTATGCAGTGAAGCGTGCTCTAAGGGGGTGTGGGGGGTAATTAAAAATGGGGGCGGGTTTCAGCAGCTTGAATCTCTCGTT